CATACCATACATCTTCTTGGACCATAATGGGATGAAGCTGGAAATCAACAACTCAAGAAACTCAAAACATATGCAAACACATGAAGACTGAACAACATGCTCCTGAATGAACAATAGGTCATTGAAGAAATCAACAGATAGTGGTAGCAAACTGTTGAAATCTTTACTTAATGTATGCTAAACTGATCTTCTGTATATAAAGAGAATTGAAAATGAATCCTCATGTGAATGGAAGGGGAGAGGGAGTGGGAAAGGGGAAGGTTGTGGGTGGGAGGGACGTTATGGGGGGAAGCCATTGTAATCCATAAGCTGTACTTTGGAAATTTATATTCATTAAATAAAAGTTAAAAAAAAAGAAATCAACAGATAAATAAAAAAATTTCTGAAAATGAATGACGATGACAATACAACATATCAGAACTTATGGAATACAGCAAAAGCAGTGTTAAGAGGAAAGTTTATAGCAATTGGTACCTACGTCAAGAAGTTGGAAAGGCATCAAATAGAAGAGCTATCAGTGCATCTCAGGAACTTAGAAAAGCAACAGCCAACCAAATCCAAAACTAGTAGAAAAAATAAATAATTAAAATTAGAGAAGAAATAAAATTGAAACCAAAAACAATACAAAAGGGCAGTGAAATGAAGAGCAGTTTTTTTTTGAAAAAAAAAAAAAAAAAAGACCAAATGGACACATGATTGACCCAACTAACAAAAAAAAAAAAAGGGAGGGGGAGAACACTAGCATCCATAAAATTGGAAATGAAAGTGGAACTGTAACAATAGACAACAAAGAAATAAAAAGAATTGTCATAAATTAGTACAAGGAGCTGTATTCAACAAATTGGGAAGCCTAACGCAATGGATAAATTCCTGGTCACATATAAACTACTTTAAATTGATCCATGAACACATAGAACACCTAAGCAGACCCATGACCAAGATGGAAATTGAATCAGTAATGAAGACCCTCCTAGCAAAGAATAGACCAGGACAGGATAGTTTCACTGATGAATTTTACCAGACATAAAGAAAACTAGTTCCAATTGTTCCCAAACTATTCAAAACAATTGAAAAGGAGGGAATCTTCCCAAACTCTTTTTATGAAGCCAGCATCACCTTAATTTTTAAACCTGAAAAAGATACAACAGAGAAAGAGAACTTACAGATGAATTTCCCTGATGAACATAGATGCAAAAATACTCAACAAAATACTATCCAATCAAATCCAACAACACATCAGAAAGATCATTGATGTGTACTAAGGGATTTGCCTCTGGTATTCAGGGGTGGTTTAACATTCACAAATCAATGTGATATATCACATTAACAAACTGAAAAACAAAAACCATATGGTTATCTTAAGAGGTACAGAGAAAGCACTTGATAAAGTAAAATACCCTTTCATGATGAAAATTTTAAGCAAATTGGATACGGAAGGAACATTCTTCAAAACAATCAAGGCAATTTACGACAAACCAATGGCCAGTGTCCTATTGAATGGGGAAAGCCGAAAGCATTCCCACTGAGATCCAGAACGAAACAACGATGCCCAATCTCATGACTGATATTCAATATAGTCCTGGAAGTATTAGCCATTGCCATCAGGCAAGAAAAAGAAATCACAGGGATACATATTGGGAAGGAGGAAGTCAAACTATCCCTATTTGCAGATGACATGATTCTATATATATGGGACCTAAAAGATTCCACTAAGGGACTATTGGAATTCAGAGAAGAGTTTGGTAATGTGGCAGCATATAAACCAACACATAAAATCAAAAGCCTTTGTACACAAAGACAATGCCATGATTGAGAAGGAACTTTTAAGATCAATCCCATTCACAATAGCTAAAAAAAAAAAAAAAACACCTGGAAAAAATTTATCCAAGGATGGCAAAGATCTCTATGACTCTATGATGAAAATTACAAAGCATTAAAGAAAGAAATAGAAGAAGACATACAAACATGGAAAGCTCTTCCTTGTTCATGGATTGGAGGAATCAATCTAATCAAAATGTCCATACTACAGAAAGAAATGTAAAGAATCAGTGCAATCCCAATCAAAATGCCAAGGGAATTCTTCTCAGATAAAGAATAAAATGATGCTGAAATTCATATGAAAATGTAGGAGAACTCAAATAGCCAAAGAAATCTTATACAACAAACACAAAGTTGGTCACATCACAATACTGGATTTTAAGACATACTACAGGGAAGTTATAATCAAAATAGCCTGGTAGTGGTGCAATACAGAGGGTTAGACTGATGGAACTGAATAGAAACACCAGAAAACAACCCACACATCTACAACCAATTAACGTTTCTTTGACAAAGGAGCTAAAATCAATCCCTGGAGCATGGACAATCTCTTCAACAAATGGTGCTGGGAAAACTGGATCTCCACATGCAGAAGTGTAGCAAGACCCCTATCTTACACCTTAAACAAAAACCCACTCAGAATGGATTAAATACCTAAATCTATTACCTGATACCATCAAATAATTAAAGAACATTGGAGAAAACCTGCAACACATTGGCATAGGCAAAGAGTTTTTGGAGAATACCCCAAAGGCACAATCAAAGCCAAGATTGACAAATGTGGTTACATTAATTTGAGAAGCTTCTGCACTGCAAAAGAAACACTCAGCAAAATAATGAGGCAACTGACAGAATGGCAGAAATTATTTGCAAACTATGCAACTGATAAAGGATTAATAATTTTAACATATAAAGGAATCAAGAAAAGCAACAACAACAAAAACAATCTAGTTAAGAAATGGGCAAAGGACTTAAATAGGCATTTCTTTTCTTTTTTTTTTTTTTGACATGGAGAGTGGACAGTGAGAGAGAGACAGATAGAAAGGTCTTTCTTTGCCGTTGGTTCACCCCACAATGGCCGCTGTGGCCAGCTCGCTGTGACCAGCACACCGCACTGATCTGAAGCCAAGAGCCAGGTGCTTCTCCTGGAATCCCATGTGGGTGCAGGGCCCAAGCACCTGGGCCATCCTCCACTGCACTTTCAGGCCACAGCAGAGAGCTGGACTGGAAGAGGAGCAACCGGGACAGAATCCAGCACCCCGACCGGGACTAGAACCCAGGGTGCTGGTGCCACAGGCAGAGGATTAGCCTATTGAGCTGCAGCAGTGGGCAAATAGGCATTTCTTAAAATAGGAAATCCAGATGACTAAGAGACACATGAAAAAATACTCAAGATCACTAGCCATCAGGGAAAATGCAAATCAAATCCAATGAGGTTTCAACTCACCCCAGTTATAATGGCTTTCACACAGAAATCAACAAACAACAAATGTGATGAGGATGTGGGGGAAAAGGTACCCTAATCCACTGTTGGTGGGAATGTAAACTGGTACAGTCACTGTGGAAGACGGTGTGGAGATACCTCAGAAAGCTGAATATAGACCTAATTTTTGACCCAGCCATCCCACTCCCGGGAATTTACTCAAAGGAATGAAATCAACATATGAAAGGTTATCTGTACCCCCATGTTTATTGCAACTCAATTCACGTAGCTAAGATATGGAATCAACCCAAGTGCCTGTCAACTGAAAACTAGATAAAGGAATTATGGATATGTATGCCTTGACGTCTACATAGCGGAAGGAAAAATAAAATCCACGAAATGGGATGGAACTGGAGAATATCATTCTTAGTGAAATAAGCTAGTCCCCAAAGGCCCAAATACCATTATGTTCTCCCAGATCTGTGATAACTAATAGAGCTCCTAAAAGGTAATCTATAAAATTGAAATTAACACTTCAAAATGCAATGACTTTGAACAACCCTTTCCTTGCTTGTTGAGGAGTAGTTTTAATTTTTCTTTATACAACTTGTTGAACCCTTTACTTAGTATGGAGTTAATCATATATGTATAAAGCTAGTTGAAAATAGATCTTAGTAAAAAATAAGAATGGGAATAGGAGAGGGAGGAGGAAGTGGGGTGAGAGTGTGAGTGGGAAGCTTGGTATAGTGAGAAGAATCACTATATTCCTGAAGTTGTATTTATTAAGTGCATGACTTTTGTATTACTTAAATAAAAGTTTTCTGTAAAAATATGAATGAAACACAATGAAGAAAACAGCAGAAAAATTTTAAATTCAATTAAATATTTGTTAAGTATAATGTTTGCCATTATATTAGGATTAAAATGATAGATCTTTGATTTTATTCTGTCATGCTTACAAGTGTAAGTACTCAATGATGAGTTTTATTTGTTAAATAATTTAAAGAGGGCCTGGGGCTGTGACACAATGGATTAAGCTTATGCCTGCTATGTCAGCTTCCCATATGGGCACTGGTTTGAATCCTGGATGCTCTGCTTCTGATCTAGCTTCCTGCTAATGCACCTGGGAAAGCTTCAAAAGATGGCCCAAGTGCTTGGACCCCTGCCACCCAGATGTGAGACCTGGATAGAATTCCTAACTCCTGGCTTTGACCTGGCGCAGCCCTGATGATTGTGATCACCTGGGGGAGTGAACCAGCAGATGGAATTTCTCTTTCTCACTGTCTCTCTCTCTCCTTCTATAACTGCCTTCCAAGTAAATAAATAAGGCTTAAAAAGAGAATTTATAGAAAGGAGGGCTCATGCAGATTGTGATATTTGAAGAATGTCACAGAATTTGAGTTGAGTCTTTAAAGATGGATAGGATTTGAGTGAGTGAGGATGAAGGATCAGCTATAACCTCGGAAGGGATATACCAATTTGAAAGCTAAAATATAGATGACTGGATTGGTTAGAAAGGGGTGCAGCTGATTTTTTTTTATAAGACCAGAGAGTTTTTCTGGAGACTGGTAGGGACTGTGTCCTTCTGTCTTTGAATTCTGATCTGAAGTCTTTAAAGACAGTCACCATCACATGAAGCAATGTGAGGAACATTATTTAGGCAGCATGTCCTCCTGACGGTAACTGTGTTCCCTCCAATTCTTTTCTTCTTAATGGACACACTTCTGTCTTTTGTAATTACATGCCTTTTCTTTTGCAGAGAAATGAAGATATGAAGGCTGTCACTTTATATGTGGGAATGTTACAGCAGTGTCCTTAGCAAAAGCTATGTCATCAATCATGCTGGACATACTCAACCATGAGGGAGGAGGAGGTGAGGTTTGCTTTTCATTTAGGGAGGCTCAAAGGTCATAGGGAGCTTTGCTCTCAATAGGTTTTTCAGTCCTAATATTTCAGCATATACTTTTTTTTCTCTTCTTGTTAGACTTGCAGCATTATTTTGCCCTTTTCAATTTCTTTCTTATTTGAAATGTATCATGAAAGTCTCTGTCAAGTTCCCTACGAAATATCCTTGATGCACGAAGTCCAGAGGGCTTTTGAAATTTTCCTCATCTTGTACTATTCAGGGAGCACCAATCGAGCCTTCTTGTATTTAAAAGTCCCCTCTCTGCTCCACCAAGGACTCTGCTGGGAGTGCCACTGGGAAGGGGGTAGGAAGTCAGAGTGCTGACAATGAGAAGGACAGTGCTTCTTCACCAACTGCCAAGTTTCTGGCTCACAGTTATAGTCTTGGACTGGACTTGTCAAAGTTGAAAGGGAGGGAAGGCCTTGTGAGTAATTCAGATTGGGCCTCATACTAACACGGAGAGAATTTCAGCTTGATTCTTTTTTTTTTGACAGGCAGAGTGGACAGTGAGAAAGAGAGACAGAGAGAGAAAGGTCTTCCTTTGCCGCTGGTTCACCCTCCAATGGCCGCCGCTGCAGCCGGCGCACCGCGCTGATCCTGGCAGGAGCCAGGAGCCAGGTGCTTTTCCTGGTCTCCCATGGGGTGCAGGGCCCAAGCACCTGGGCCATCCTCCACTGCACTCCCTGGCCATAGCAGAGAGCTGGCCTGGAAGAGGGGCAACCGGGACAGAATCCGGCGCCCCAACCGGGACTAGAACCCGGTTTGCCGGCGCCGCAAGGTGGAGGATTAGCCTATTGAGCCACGGCGCCGGCTCAGCTTGATTCTAACACACGAGAGTCCTAGTGCATTCCAGCGATAGTGAGTTAGAACCAGGCATGAGTCAGAAGTGAGACCAGCAGAAAGAACTAGGAACACACCCCAGTGAAGAGTGACGGGGGACGCAGCAGACTCAAACGCCTCTTGTGACCCATAGCAGCTAGGAAGGAAGCTCTCCCTGCAGAACAGTACTTAGCACAGGGGACAGCATCAGATGCCTACAGAGCTAGATAGGTAATGAAAGAGTGTGGAGAGAGGTAGAAGAAAACATGTGCGAGGCACGGGGACTGTGGCCAGCTGGATGCCACACAGATTCTGTCTGAAGGGAGCTGCTGCTTCTTGGCTCCTGCAGAGTGTTGCCCAGAGAAAACAAGCCCAGTGTTGCCAGCTCTTCTAATTGAATTTTAAAGTAAATATACCTTATTTTTTTCTTACGTTTAAAGTGTTGGAAGTAAATTAAGGATTTTTTTTTTTAACTTTTATTCAATGAATATACGTTTCCAAAGTACGAATAATGGACTACCATGGCTTCCCCCCCCATACCGTCCCTCCCACCCACAAAAGGATTTTTTTTTTAAAAAACCACCATCAGGGCCAGTATTGTGGAGGCCAAACGCATCTGTGGGCTGCTGTGTGCAGCTTCGACAGTAGAGAGAATATGGTCCTGGCAGTTGAGCAGTATTCTTAGCTTGCTACAGTGAGCATGTAGACTTGTGTAAACCTGTGTCTTGAGTTTCAGGTTCTTTGTGTAAATGCAGTAGTCAATGATGTGGTAATGATTCCTGATGATACACATAAAGTAAGTTATCTATTGGAATCAGCTTTGGTACACAGCTGTGGAATCTGAAGTTGGCACCAGTTAACCAGCCAGGGCTGAGCAGGTCCCCAGAAGTGCTAAGAGGCTTTGGATGCAGTAACCTTTAACTGACAGGATGTTGTAGGCTTTAACTGGCATTATGGGAGACATTTGGTTCTCTATCTAATGGGAAAACAAGGAGATAATAAAGAACAAGAATGGATAGAGATAAGTTGTGAAAATAGTGTTTCTTGGAGTGAACCAGTCTTATGATCATGATCCTTTGTATTCCCACGAGCAAACCAGAGTAGAGAGGAAGCAACTCCTTCTCCCATACTCAGTACACTCCAGGCTTTATACCACTCCTCACATTGCTCAGCACACATATTACTATCATAGAACTGACAGGGACCTCTGTCTCTTGACTCCAAGTGTATGTTTCTTTTCCAGTCCTGTAGGGTCAGTCCTGTAGTGTAGGAGGTGCATGGTTGGTAATTGCTCAGACTTGCTAATAATAACCATAGTAGATTAAAATTCTTACATGCTTGCTACACATCAATTCTGCAGGTAGATGGTATCATCTCCATTGTAACTGAATGAAAACTAAGTACAGAGAGGTTCAAGAGCATGCTCTGGTTCCCACAAAGCTCAGTGAAGGGTGCATATTTGAATCTGAGCATTTGTGAAGCTTCACAAGATAAAACTCTGCCTTGCATCAATAGACGGGAGTTTAAGCACCATGCTGCAAGAGCTTCTTTTCCTTGAAACCTTGGCAGACATATATTCTTTTAAGTTTGAAGGAGAAACTCAAGTCAACTATACCTTTTTTTAGTAAGAATTGAATTTTGCAGTTCATTTTTCTTTTGAAGGGGACAGAGCTTGGTGTCAAAGTAACACTCTGCAGAGATCCTAGCCTGAAATTGGTGGGTCAATTTAGTATGCTGGAAATTCATTCCTTGACTGTGTAGAAAATATAACAGAACATGGTAATGATAATAGCAACTTAAAAAAAGAAACAAAAAGAAAATAAAAAGTATGTAGTTCAATGCATCTGCTAATTCTGCTTAGCCCCAGGAAAGTCATTGAGGGATCAAGGATAAGCTGATGTGAGAGAATTTGTGGAAGTGGGGGAGTTTTATAGAGAAGGTTAGTCAACTAACTAATCAATTCAATAACAGTTCTTTCCAGAGAACTTGCAAGGCACCAGGAACTATGTCCCATCTTAAAAAGGTACTGTTCAGAGTTCCTGGCAATGATGCCTAGAGGAGTTAACTTCATGTATGGGAGGAAACTTGACAAATAAAAATGTAAATGATCTCATAACACAAAGATACATTGATAAGATTAGTTTCCCAAACCTTCTTGGCACTAATGGTTCTAAAAATAGCAACACATAATTATTGGGCTGGCCATGGTTATAACAATAAATAACTCACTTTGTCAAAGAATTAGGGATTATCTTTTCTCTTCATTCTAAGAGTGGAGATGGAACCATACTAAAGAAAAGTAATCAATTGCTTCCCTGCCTCCACCTGTTTGTCCTCTCTCCCTGCCCTACCCCAATGTGCCATTATCTTCTCTTTCTTCTCAAACCTGTTTCTCTATCTGTCTTCATCTGCTGTCTTGTTCTCCTTTCTTCTCATCCAAGTTCTGTTAAGTCTTAAGGATATTCATTCCTCTTATAGCACATCCCTTTAATTCTCTTCTTCCTCTCTGTTCCTACTGCCATTAAGTTCCTCTCTTTTTCCATCTTCCCTGCTTCATCTAGGGTTATGGGCCACCTTAGTGCCATTGTTTCCCTCACAAACCTGATGTGATTCTCTGTTGTCCATTGGGTGGGGATCAATCTCCCGGACTCACCATCTCAAGACTCTTTGTAAGTGTTTTCTTGCCTAGCCCACAGAATCATTTTTCACTCACACTCTTCTATAAACCCCAGAATCCTTAGTTCTGAAACTGTTGGGAGAGATATCTTAATTCTGTGATTTTTCAGGGTTCCTATATTAAACCTGACTTAAGACATATATTAGTACTGCTTAGGAATATACATTCTGTCCTTAAACATTTCTCTCATCCCTCATAATGTTAATAACTTTAAAACATCCCAATAACTTAATCCATCATTAGCCAAAGCCTGTTTGTTAGCTTTTCCAAGAGCGATGCCTGTTTGATGTATTGTCCCACACTTAGTCATGACAGTCCTGTGATGCATTATGTCACTCAATATTTTCACCCCAGAATAATAAATTGGAGAAATGAGACATCTGCCTACAATTTATTCTTGTTATGTCTTTTCCTCTTTGAAAGTAAATGGCAACACTTGTAAAATGAGAAAGCTGGGTCAGCTTAACCCTTTAAAAACTACCCACAGATTTATGTGATAGTCACATTAATTTTGTATGTCTAAAAAGTACTTGAAATAGTTATGCCTTTCCTTGGAAAGTTGTTATTTTCATTAAACAGAGAATGAATGGAAACTTTTTACATGTCAGGGATTATATCAGTCACAAGGGCACTGATTTAGTGGGCTGAGTTCTCAAGGGAGGTGATGGGGGTAGTGATGTGTAGTGAGTGGTTGAGAGCATGGATTTTGGGTGCAAGTCCTGTTTCTCTCATTTACCAAGTGTGTGCCTTGGGTCTACGACTTAAATCTTAATTTCTTCAGCTGAAGAATTGAAAATGATTGTGTATATCTCATAGGTTAGGGAAAGATGAAATGAGTTAATATAAGAAAAGTAACTGGTTGGCCGGCTCCGCGGCTCACTAAGCTAATCCTCCGCCTTGCGGCGCCAGCACACCGGGTTCTAGTCCCGGTCAGGGCGCCGGATTCTGTCCCGGCTGCCCCTCTTCCAGGCCAGCTCTCTGCTGTGGCCAGGGAGTGCAGTGGAGGATGGCCCAAGTACTTGGGCCCTGCACCCCATGGGAGACTGGGATAAGTACCTGGCTCCTGCCATCGGATCAGCGTGGTGCGCCGGCCGCAGTGCGCCAGCCTTGGTGGCCATTGGAGGGTGAACCAACGGCAAAGGAAGAGCTTTCTCTCTGTCTCTCTCTCTCACTGTCCACTCTGCCTGTCAAAAAAATAAAAAAAAAAGAAAAAGATAAGTAACTGGCATATGTAGTAAATTTTCAATACATAGTAACAATTATTTTTACCTTGGTAGATGACAATACAGGCTATCACAATAGAGTAAATATTTTATGTTATAAATATAGCCTATGTGACTCTATTAGGCATCTCATGGATTCCACTGATGCTGTAAGGAGTGTCCAATGTAAGTGCCTTAGGTAGGTGCTATTGCTATTGGTGTCTCACTAAGAGGCAAGGGCACAGAGAAGTAAAACAGCTTGTACAACA